GTTCTTGAATTATTTCTTTGTTTTGAGAAGCAAAAATAAGTTTGTCTTATTTCAAAAAAGAACCCATTCATATATTTTGAAATCATCAAAATGATGGTTTTTAAAACGAAAACAAATTTTAGAGTACAGATATTGTATGATTTAGGAAAGATGATGAACTCATGAAAGATCATTATATGAAAACATGATTCTTAAACCAGAAATTCTAGAACACATTTTAATCTTTGTTTTGGTAACAAACATGTAAACTACCAATAACATGTTTTCCATGTTTTTATTTTAGTAACCAATTTGTCATCAAAATAGATGGTTTAATTTGTATTTGTAACTCACAACAAGAAAAACAATTCACATAGAAGAACACCCAGTGTCAATCTCTGCCTTGAAAATGATGCATCTTTAATTATTATTTATTTTCTAAAACGCAATGTACTTGATAAACAAGATTTGAGTTGGATATATCAGGCCAATTGGTCAACAAGGAGAAATCATTCTTCACTGTTCATAGTAAAATGCCCATCACCAAATGCCTTTCACAACACATTGGCCACTGAGTCCGTGTCAACTTTTAGTCAAGGTGATATCGAGATGCATCCTGATCTTCTTTTAGTTGTGATTGAAACAAACTTTAATGGCATAACTAAATTGTTGGATGTTATGAGCCTACGGATAACCTCTTTGTTGACATTGTTAATTCTGGGTTGAAAGTTGCAAGTAAAACTAAAAACTCTGCTGGTGATGGGTCAACAACTGCACCAATTCTTGCACGTGAATTTATCAAATTAGGCTGATTGAGTGTTACTTTYGGTGCAAAGCCTATCTCAATCAAGAGAGGGATTAATAAGACAGTCCAAAGCCTGGTGGACTAGGACTAATTGCTATTTTTATTTCTTCAAGTTAAGACTAATTGCTATTTTTCTTCAGTTGTTGCTTCCTTCTCTGCTGGCAATGATGATACACTATTGGGACTATGATTGCCATGCACTCGACTCTCTCTAAGAACTCAGTCCCACTCTCTCTCTTTACCTGTTACAGAGAAATTTGAGGAGACGAAATCCGGAAAAGCCCCAAAAACTAGACCCCCACCACAACCTATTCCACCGCCTCGTCGGCGAACTCCGATCCTTGTCACTCAAAACTATCAAAGCCCATCAAAGTTCTGATGAGATGCTCCTCTGAACCAATCCTTTACACCGTCGGATTGGCCTTGAGCGACAACGAAAATCGTAGCACTTTGAAATCCAATGTTCTACTATATCGCCTCCAGACATGTATGGACGTGTTCACAGCAGCATCGTCTCCACTTATATCTTTGTCTCCCTCTTTTCATAATATCGAGGTACAGCCAGTCAAACCTCTTTCATTCATCTCTATATTCACAAAATATAATTTTTTATGTTTGTATTCAAATTCCGACTCCGAACTTCGATTTCGACTAAATTTGGGGGTGGTGAAAATGCTGAGATACAATGATGTAGCGAAGGTGGTGGTGAAAATGCAAAATACAATGAGGAAGCGAAGGTGGTGGTGAATGTGACGGTGGAAGAAAGTCCGGGACTGGTTCGAACCATGGCGGCATAGCAAGGTCAGAGCCCTCGATCTCTACCATCATTCGGTCGTCGTCCCACCGCCGCCTGGTCCATTCCTGTATCGCCACCATAGTTTGGGCAGCGGCCCATGGTTCCACTAATCCACTATTAAAGTCACTTGTATCGCCCTCCTTCTCTACTATTAGAACCCTCTTCTCCACTATTGTGCATCAACGGAGAAAATTTCTGTTTCCCAATCATGGAATCACCTGGTCAATTCATGCCATATGTGATTGGTGGAACCTTCCAATAGGGTCGTTGAAAATGGGGCTCCGTCCGCCAGATTCAAGTTAGATTAAGAGGAGACCTCCGCTGCTGCAATTCCCTTGTTCGCCTAACGGTGAACTCACTAGAAAATGACTTTCAAAGTAATTCTGGTAATAGAAAAATGGGGGCGTCAATTAGAAGCTTAGTCAGACAGAGAATTGGTGAGAAAGAGGAGAGAGAGGTGGAGTAGGAAGAGGTCGCCACCACTGGTTAGGTGTCGAGAGGGATGGAGGGTAGAATTGGATTTAAAAAAATACGTTTTATGGTGTTATGTTTATGTGTATATGGATTTTGATGGAATATTAATGAATGCTGACAGTAAGGATAGATTTAGTCAATTGTCAGAAAAATTAAGGTTATTATAAGACAATAGTTAAACAGTATGGGTACAATTTGTCAATTAATTAAACAGGGATAGTTTAAGAAATTTGCCCTTATTTAATTATGTTATTGGGAAAGTGCATCTCATTGATTATTTAGAAAATGACAGAATTAAAAAATAAAAAATTCAAAAAAAGAAGAAAATTTTAGACTTCATTGTTATATATATATATAAAGAACATGTTATCTTGTCTTATGAAAAAACAACTTTAAACTTAAATTTTTTGACATAATATACATGCATACATGTATATATAAATAGAGAAATATGTATATAGTATATACATAAATGCATAAATATTTGCAATGAAAAAATAATACATTTAATAGATTTATGGATGCATAGTTGCGTTTGCATACATACATGAACATTGAATATACATATACACATAAGCCCTTTTCGATAAATATATACATAAATCCTTATATGCATAAATACATATTTATATAATATTTATTTAGCAAATATGAAGTTAAGTCATATTCTATTGTTAAATGCCTAAATCCTAACCCAATCCAAAATTAAGTTGGTTCATACTCTTCAACCCTAACCTGGACTTCGACCCAATCCTAATTTTTTATTTTATTTTTCAGGTTAGGTTTGGGCTGAATTCAGGCTAACCCAGCCCAAGTTGCAGCCCTATTCAAGGATCAATTGAAGATGAGCCAAGAGCAAATGGAAGTGGAATTCATTTTGTTAAGAGTGAAGGATCGATTTCAATTGTTGTGGAATATGATCCTCTCCTTCATAGTAGAGTTTCTTTTGCTCATTTTGTTAAAACTATCTTTGATTTTATTATATGGGAGATAATCCTTCCTAAGGGTGGATATGAGTCGAGTCAATCCAAACATATGGCTATTCTCGCTCGACTTGCCAAAGATTTGTATGTTTAAGTTCAGCTCAGCTCTATGAGTCAAGCTTTCTATAAAAATAAAAATTATACTTATAATTTTTTTTATTTTACATATATAAAATTAAGAATTATAAACATTATTTTTCTATAACACAAAAATAAAAATATTTTTTATGTATGCATTAGACTCAATTACACTTGTGAGTTTCACGAACTAAGCTTATTGTACTCGATTCGATTCAATTAACAAACAAGCATATATATTGAGCTTAAATTAAACTCGAAGTTTAGTCTAAGCCGAGCCGAGTAGCTCGATTCATTTCCACCCCTAATTTCTAACGGTGCCATTGTCACTGTTATTTGATCTTAAATAATATCATACATTTTTATATTTTATGCATTAAAAAATTAAAGTGCCTAACTATCCAAAATTCCAAATCCACCATCCTAATCGACCCCTGCCCATGTGCCCTTTTCAATTGCCACGTGTACATAATTGAGGTTGGACCCACTAATGGAATATGTTATCTTAACAATATGATTTTATTAGCTATCCAAAGTCTAGAACCATGAAATCAGACGATTAATCACGTGGCCTTGCTGATATTTCTGGTTCAAAGTTATTGGTTGCATGGGGCTCACATTGAATGGTTGAGGAGAGGGAACTTGAGAGGTTTTTGGTGGGAGCAACCTCGTTGCAAAACTTCTCATTTCTAGCTTTCAACCTTGTAAAGTAAAATGCGGGTGACTATCTCAACTACATCCCTACAATCTCTCCCGGCCTCTCGTAATGGCTAATTCTAAACCCCTCTCCTTTCTTTCCAAAAATCTCTGCCTGCAATCGAAAGCGGGTTCTTCCTCTATGAGTTTTTTCTGTTGAAACAGAGTTCTCATTTCTTCAATCCGTTTCTCGTGGAGAGAAAACTCATGCAATACACTTCTCTGTCCCATTATTCTCCGAGATGATATATAATAAGATCGGCGGAGGCTTGATGACCCTGCAGAGAACGACATCGTGAACAGTGCAGACACGATAGAGGACTTAACAGGGAAGGACGATTGATTCTGCTATCTCTCATCTTTTATCTGTAACATTCTCTCCTTTCCTCTGTTAAAGTTTTGTTGTTGCCAGGTATTTATTTGATGAAATGGTTTTTTGAGAACACAAAGAGAAATCAGGTGGTTAAATGGATTAGTTCTTAATTATTGTTATTATTATCATCAGCATGGTTAAGATAAGATACTAATTAAATTATTTTTTTTTCTTGCAGGTACCTGCTGCCGGCTGCTGGTATTCAAGTTGGACCAATTAAAGCAAATACAGAAAGAATCTGTGGTCTGGTTTTCCCAGTTGCCCATGTGTAGGAGGAAGAGAAGGAGAAGAGGAAGGGGAGGAGGAGGAGAGAAGCGGCCATAAATGTCATTGGGTAATTAAATCAGTTAAAAGTACTTGGTTTAACGTTCATAGACACCTCCTAATCCCTACTCCCAGATCACCAATGGAAACAGAAAGATCGTTTTACTGTTAAACATAAGCTGATCATTGTTTCTAATTCCATGAATTAATGGGAGTATGATGAGAGAGTATATGATGCTCCTGTATGGTTATATTGACAATCAGATTGATTTTTTCTTCTAGGACAGATTTGATTAGTTGATGATCATCATTTTCACAAGATTCGAGCAGCGCCCGGAACATAAGAGGCTCCAGAATTTTTTGATGTCCAGTATGCAATATCTTCTGAGTTTAGGATCCCAGTAAGAAGAAGGAGACTTCTATTCTGCCTGTTTATTAGGATCAAAAGACTCTTACAATTCAGTGCTAGAAGAAGCCACTCTCAGTAATCTGAAACGAAGTGGTTTCAGAAGTCTGATTAGGTCTTTCGTGGCAAGCAACTCAACAACGGCGATGGCAGTGCGTGAGGATGAAGAAGCTATTTTGCTATCACCAGGGAGACGAGTGAAGTTCTTGTGCAGTTATGGTGGGAAGATATTGCCAAGACCAATAGATGGTCAGCTCAAGTATGTAGGTGGTGAAACCCGAGTTATAGTAGTCCCTCGTGATATTACTTTCTCAGGTTCTCTCTCTCTCTGTCTGTCTCTCTCAGACACAACACAAACACATAAATGGGCATGCATTAATCTGATTTTAGCTTTCAAAACTGAAAACTCTTCTCTCTCACAAGGCAAAATTAATGCTTACCTGATCACCAATTCTAATTATTATACGAATTGAATTGTAACTCCATTGCCAGAGTTGATGAAGAAACTGACTAGACTATTCGAAGGCGATGTAATCCTCAAATATCAGTTGATACCTGAGGACTTGGATGCCTTGGTCTCTGTAACATGTGATGAGGACGTCCAACACATGCTGGATGAATACGACAGTTACAATGTGACGACGTACAATGAAGGGGGAACGCCGAGAACACCGAGACTACGAGCCTTCTTGTTTCCATCCAACCCAGTTGTAATCGAGGACCAAGTGATGACTACTGCTACCGACACCCAAGCACTTGAGCAGCACTACGTTGATGCCATCAATGGAGTTGTACGAGCACCCATCAAAATAAAACGTTCCTTTAGCAGCATATGCCATCAGAGCTTCAGCTTTTCATCACCTAGGGCCTCATCCCCTAAGTCATCAATTCCTCAGTTCGATCCAGCTGCTGCATCAAATAATGGCTACTCAACAACAACAACTAGTCGTGCCCGCCAGATGCTGCAAAGAGTTCAGAGCTCTCCTGACCTATTCAGTCAACTTGGTCATCACCGGCTTCAGCCACAATTACGCACCTTCTGCCAGCAGCCCTCGAGACTTCAGGGTGCATATAAGGGTGGTGGAAATCGAAGGCTGCAGCCGACCTTGTCGTTTGGCCGACATGAACTCGAAAGGAGAATGCTGGCTCGTTCCTACAGTGGCTGCTACTCACCGACAAGGCAGCGCAGAGGAAATGGAGGACGGGGACGCATGAACTCTGAACATAATAATGATGGACGTGGTGTTAACCAGAATGGAGAGCTTGAAATGGTGGACAGATTTCCTCAGCAAACGTTAGAGTAGCTAGTCGGAATTCAAAATGCGGGATCGATATGATAATTAGGGTCTACCAATTGGTTGGTAGAAGTAAGGTGGCTTAATTTGGGTGGCGTTCAAAATCAAATAGCTAGCCTGTTCATAAAAAGGTTTAGAAGGTTCTGTATATACTTCTTTGTCTTTCTTTTTTTCCTTTCTGTGTGTCTGTGAAGAGGAAGGGGATGTTTGCACTAGATGAGTGTGTCGAAAGAATTTTAGCAATTAATGGTCTGTAAATTTTAGGCATTATAATTGATTGACTGAAGTGATACATACAAGTTGGGCAAATAAATAAATAAATCTATTCACATCCCAATCGTGTATTGGGAACATCTCCCACTGATAACTTCGGGAGATGTTCCCACTGCACGCTTAGATGTGCATTTGTGAGGCGCTGATGTGATCTCATAATATATAATTTTTAAACAGAATGAATGGCGAAACAGGATTCATATAGGACCCCATATAGTTGGGACAATTGGACAAGGGTTGGATAATGAAGAACTTTATCTATTCTTAGCAAGAGTTTAATACTATTTGGATATCAATAGGAAAATAAATAAGAATAAATGAAAAAATAATTGGTATTTAATTTAGCTACTTTACAGGGATCATATCTAATGTAATAAACATCTAATATTTATACTATATACAGTGGTGGGTCTATATTATATTCTCAAATGAGATTAGGTATCAACTCTCTCTCCTTTTTTTCTTCATAATTTTGTTCATATCTTTTTTTCTATAATCTGTACTTTTAATTTCTTTCACTTTATTTGTTTTTTCTTTCTTCAAAACTCTCTCCTTTATCCTTCTGAAATTTTCTCCCATCAAAAACCAGTTTCTCTCATGAATTTTCTTTTTTGCCCTTATTATATTAGGTGCTGTATAATATCTATGATCTATTACAAAGTCATAAAAATTAAATTTCATTCTATAATGTTAACTTATATCTTTGCCTTTTGCATATATGCATATCACAAATTTTCTTGTGTCAATATCTATACTATATTCTAAAATACAGTTGTCCATGTTAGGTTCATTTTATTGCTTCCAAACCCTTTTAGAATTTTGTCTTTTTAATTTAAAAATATAAAATTAAATATAAGGCTGTTTAAGGTTGCCCACAACCAATTCAATTAAAAATCAAATGTAATATAGACATTTTTTGACACCAACCCATGCATCTCTCCTAATCTTTACTCTGTATTATAGTTGTAGGAGTCTTCATTTGCTTCTTATATCTCTATCTATCTATCTATCTATATATATATTTTAGAAACTTTGTTAATTTCAATTCATATGTGAAATTAGGCTTGTTTTCCCTCACTTTTTAGTTTTTTTTTCTTCACAGTTTGGCTTTTCTTTCTATCATATTCTTCTATACATGGCGCCTGACCAATCACTACAACCACCCTCCCTCCTAACTTGCTTTCAATTCCTAAAACTCTTTCACTTTTCTCCTTCTTGAGGACAGATTCAGTCTTCACAAAATTGTTCCCACACAGTTCTCAGTCCTTTTCAGCTGTGCATTGGGCGGAATATCTCCATACTTGTATCCTTTTATTCATGGGGAGATGTTCCTAATGCATGGCTGAAAAGGGCTGCAAGAAAGGTGTTAGCACCTAATCCGATATCTTCCTTCCTAAAAATCTTCTTTACCATCTCTACTACTTTTTCCCATCACATGGACTCTTCTGCTTATTAATTAAAGCAAAGCCCTTATACAAAAAAAAAGGGCTTGCTCTTCAAACTTGTAGTTAGCCTCTCACTCAAAAGAGAGGTAGCTTTTAATTCAAAAATCTAAAAACAAAAGTATACTAGATTGATGTGGTTCCACTCTAACCTCATGTTGTTTCCTAATTCCAGTTAGAAAGTAGGTTTGCATCATTCAATAAAAAATGAAATCTGATTTCGGTTTCGTAATGAAAATGTAAATAGATAACCAACACAAAAGTAGTTCAAGAGGTTACATTGGTGAAATAAATTCATCCTAAATGCTTTAAGGCAATTCATATTTCACCAAAAAAAAAATTGCTTCAGGACTAACCATTAGGATGGTGTTTGTTTAGGTTATGGTTGAGTTGGCCCTAGGTGCTATATTGCCACGAGGCTAGTTGTTGGGGCCCCGTGCGGCACTCAGTTGGGTCAAGTAAGCCTAAGAAAGCAAGCAATTACACACAAAAGGCAACAAAGATGGCATATGAATTAGTAAAAGGCACTTTGTATTGCATTAAAGATGGCAAGCACAAGCACACAAGTTTGTGTCAAGGGGACCTCGTGCTTAACCTTTACACGGTATTGGCACCACTCAACTACACACCTCCCCTCAAAGAGTAGCTTAAGCTTTTGGTGCTCTGACAAAACATTACATCAAAATATTGAGAAATCATACTGCACAATTACAATAACGCCATGGGCATCTCCCCCCATACAAAATACATATGCAACCCCACCCCAAGACACACTTGATGATGCATCGATGGCATGCCGCGGGCATGGCCAAGGCACTTGATGGCACAAAAACGTGATCACCTGTGACAGTCTCCCCCACTCAATTCGGTCTTCGTCCTTGAAAGCTGGCTTTTGCATGCTGCTGGAGTCCGCTGGTGGTGAAGGAGGGTT